TAGTTAGTACATAATCATATTGTTGCAAGTACAATCAATTTTATATGGGATAGAATAAGTAGCTATTGTAATTATGTACTTTTAACTAAACATTAGACTAAATGAACAGTAGTAAACATGTTCAGTTATTCAAATGAATGAAAAAGAATACTATTGAATAGTTTAATAGGTCAACTTTTCCTTAAAATATAACAACAACAACAGTTTATACTTTATTGCATATCGATTCATCGACTTTGAAAAATAGTTTTAAAAAGTTAACTTATTCTTACGAAGAATTAGCTTTTGATTGAGATCATGAACCGATTGATGTTAGACCATCATTCAAAACCTGGAAGCACTGGACGGCCATTTCGTCCTATTGTGAAACTCCTCAGCAGTGTGCATCCTCGCGGGAATCGAACCCAGGACCTTCATTCTCGCGCAAGAACGCCTAACCTCTAGATCACTGAGCGGGCATCCAACGGTTTTCAATGATGGTCGAACATCAATCGGTTCATGATCTTAATCAAAAAGTTAGTTATCTCCACAACCCTATAATGATAAAAAGTTAGTTATTTTTAAGGTGAATAGAAAAGTAGTTACTGACTATGATGACTAATCTAAGTGAAAAATAAAATTATTTTCAAGCTTAGCTTTGAAACGACGTGAATGTTTGTACTGCTACTACTAACAGGAATGTGATTCTAATGACATATCTTTTTAAGCCAGTTAGATTAATAAGACATTGGCTATCATACTAGACAACATTGTTGGTAAAAAGTACATTGACGTCTAATCATTATCCACATTATACTGTACATTGTATACTGCCATTTGAGATGTATTAAATAAACATATGCCATTATAATAACTTATTGTAGAGATACAATTTCCCCAATCCTAGTCTAAAATTATATTTTGGCATTGATTGCTGATCTAAGAACAGATGTATGGACTTGAGAGATTATAAGGGCATGAAATGGTTTTTATTTCTTATGTACTATCGGTTAGTACCAGTGTTGTGTATGCTGCTTATGTTGACACATATAAGTAGTATGTAGCATTGATCGAATACAGGTTACCTGGCAGAAGAAGATTGCAATGAAGAAAACAGGTAGGAAATCTGACAGCAATCGAAATAACATAATTAGAGGAATAATAGAGTATGTAAAGCACAAAGTAACGAACATGTGCAAATCATGTTCTTAATATATGATTTTTATATTTTACTAACTAATTGTGTGATTTTGCATTAAACAGTAAATTGGTTTTATCCACTTGCGTTCCCGTCCACTAATACAATAGTTGGATATAAGGCGTTTACGCCTTTTGAGAAGTAGTTATAATAGGGAAAATATGACGACACATTATCGTGAAATATTATTTCGTATAGATATATAGAAACTGATTAGGAGATTCTAGGACATCTCGATGAATAATATATTTTATCTTAATTTCGGTTGTCAAACTAAATTTCAAAAATAGGGGGATTTTAATTCCCATTTATATGATACAAACGAAATTCGTTGATGTGGTTGTAAATTGTCAGTCAGTCAGCTACAACGTAGGACCAGGCACATATATGTATCGGTCCAAGTTGCCATATCGCATTAGCACAACAAGATGAATATCAAATTCATAGAAATAGTTAATTCAATGGTGGTAATATATAAAAGAAAGATTGTGTATAAGGACATAATACAGGAAGAAAGAATTAGTTCGTAGAAAGAAGCGATTTTAATCTCATAGTTTAAGAGAAGACATAGAGTGTGTACACCTACGCCCTGGTGATCGATTCTGAGCCATTTCACCCACAACTGGATAATAGGAACCAAGTAAACAGAGCAGCTTCCCTGATATGTGGCAGAAGTATCTGAACTATTATAGTTAGAGTAATGCAGAGAAATTTGATCTGGTCACCACTACGTCTCTACGGTATTGACGAAGATATTGAAATAATTATTGAGATTTATTTAAAAAACTACTTAAGACTACAGAAGTTTGTGGAAAAGAGTAAATTTGATCTATATAAATGGGCTTCTTTAAGCGAGGAAAAGCAAAGCCAATCTAAAAATGTCCATCCATTACATAAAAGTAGTATTTACTTTGGAATGTTCTTTTTGTTGCTTAAATTCTTCCTTTTTTCATTACTGTTAAAGGTTAGAAACGACTAAAACTTCTTCTAGGTCATTTTGAACAGTCTATGAAAGTTAGACGTAAACTATTCAACTTAAACACTACCTGGATGTTATGACCGTCACCGCGAAATTTCAATACCTTAATTCAGATACCTATTATGGTTGTGGGCTTATTTGGCTAAAACTTTCCAAGCTACGATGGGAACTTCTGAATGCTATCTGATCTTAATCGATTTGTTAGATTTTATTTGTTCAACTTAACTATTTTGGCAATTCAAGAACACTTCCACAGGTACCTGACATAATAACAAAATCTCAGTAGCTTATACAATAAAACTACAGAATAAAAGTCTTTCAGAAAAATCTAGACTTAAGACAACATATTAGGTTTATTAAAGTTTACTTAAATAAACCATGAGTAGTTTCTGAAACCTGACCACAAGTATGATTGGCCTGGCTATTCATTAAAATCCAAAGATTCGAAACAGGTTAATAGATTCGATGTTATACTGTTAAAATCAATTATGAATGTTTCTCTGTCATCTTGGAATTATATATAATACAGCCTTTTCAACCATTTACAGTAGATGCATACCTCTTGTTATAAGGCTGAATTTAAAATGATTTATGTAAAAGATATAATTTTCTGAGGCTATTACATACATATTAGCCAGTTAGCAAGTCAACAAAATGCTAGTTACGCTCATTGAAAACTGATAATAACAGTACCGATTGGAATATGACTAGAATCACTTGTGTGATACATAGTTGTAAATTACTGTTCAAAACTTCTCAATGGTTACGATTCATTTGTTTAAAAGAGTACCAAAAACAATCTTTTTATAATAGACTTAGCGGAAATGAGTTCAGTAGACTCAAGAGTTAGAATAGTTTATTAACTAGAAATATATTAATTTCAGACAATGGTTCATAAAGGATTCTCTTTTGAGTTTACAAAACATATTTTAAGAATCTAATGGTATTTATTTTTGGATTTGAGCTACTTGGCAGTGTTAAGACAGATAGGATAGAGACTAATATCTACCTCACTATAATGGAAGATGGTGAAATTTCGTGCATTGGTTGAGGTTACACATTAACACCGCTGAATGCTGGCTAGCTCAGTGGTCTAGAGGTTAAGAGTTCACGCGTGAGACTGAAGGTTCTGGGTTCGAATCTCGTGAGGACGAAACGACCATCCAGCGCTTTCAGGTTTTGAATGGTGGTCTAGTTTCAATTGACTCATGATCTCAACAACTAAAATTACTATAACATCCACAAAAACCCTTCTGATATTACAATTACTGTCTGTTTACATTTCTGTTCTCTTCAGTTCAATCTTCTCAATCTTTTTCTGCCAGGCATTCTACTTCTGAATGATGTTACATACTACTTATGTTGACAGCCATAAGTAACATACACCACAAAATCAATATTGCAAGTTAACATAATGTCCACCTCTGCCAATCTAGTTTCATTTAACATCTTACCATCTTTCAATCATTGTTTACTGTTATTTGAGGGAAAATTTACCGAAGTGAAAATAAATGCTCACCTTAGTGGAAAAGATTACTTTTAAGATTCACAACTAAGCTTACAGGGTAATTTTAAAACCACCAAATTATTTTGGTTAACACAAGGATATTTATGCAGTTTTGAGAAATTTCATGTGGATGTCTTTCCACGATCCAGCTAAAATTGAGCTATTAAGTTATTTACCTTGGTGAATAGTAGTTGGATAGTATATCTAAATCGGTCTTATTCCGTATTGATATTGATGTGTAATAATCATGAATTAGCTTTGTTTCCCCACCAGATTTTCTATGAGGATGTATAGTCAACTTGGTATGAAAACTGAACACCCAACAAAATTTATAATGAATTCTTCTTTTACTGGTATTCAAAATGATTGATTGTAATGACGAAATCTAAGACCGATTACACCATAGTTCATTTCACGAATAGTAATAATCGACTAGACATTGCTGAGGTGATATCTAAATGTGGTCGCGTTAAACCGCAAATGCCCTGGTACGACCGAAATTGGGGAGAGTCAGCTCTCACATGGCCACGTGCATACAACCACTACCACACAAGTCCTACTCACTGCCTTCTCAAGACATTACTGTTGTTTACGAAGTTGAGAAGACGAAAAGCGAATGTCCAGTGCTTTGATCGAGTTGGTGGACACGGAGGGTCCATATAGAGGAGTTGGAAAACTCTCATTCCAAACCAGTCGTGTACATGGGTTGGCTCCAGTATCCTGAGAAAACAAATGACATATGAAACTATTGTTATTTACCGGTTACCATTGGTCTGCATCTCCTGACGTTGCTCCACTGCCTTGAAGATCAGACTTTTAGGTCGAAGTGTTGCCCTCTAAGAAAACCACCTTCTTTGGTTTAGGAATCCGGGCAGTATCTATACTTTCACACAAATCGAATGATTTATGTGGCGCATATCTATTTGCTGCTTTTTTGTACCAATGTTTATGTGTTTAAATAAATAAATAAATCAGGAATAACTGTCTTGGGTTGAAATCTATTCTTACATAGGTAATACAACATTAATTTGTGATTGGTTAAACCATTAAGACATGTCTTTGATTTTAACGAATATTATTCACTTAGTGTGCAACATTGTACTAGTTGTGTAGCAATTTGTGTTTGGAATTCGATTTACTAAACTACATTATCCTTACACTCCTTATTGGTTCATATTATTATCCCTATTCATTTTATTTGTAAATAAAATCAATATCCTTATAGATACAAATCTATTTTGCATTAAGATAACTAACACTAAACCATTCTGCCCAGAACACTGAAACAGGGCGCACCATATTTTTATTCTACAGTGATAATAATAATAATAACTACCATGGCAACAAAATATAACATGTCAATTCAATTATTTTTACTTTTTGTCAATATAATGCTAATTCGCATCTCTCAATGTAGTGAAAATAATGATTATAATTATGAACCTTTCAAACATTTACAATATCCAACTGTAATGAAAGATATAGAAGATGAATGTGAGAAATGTGATCGTAAAAAATGTCCACCTATTATACAATGTAATGTTGGTACAGTACGTGATAAATGTGGATGTTGTGATATTTGTGCATTAGAAGAAGCTCAATTATGTAATATACCTGAAGATTTTAAAAATGGTATTTTAAAACCAGGAATTACATGGCATGGAATGTGTGGTACAGATTTAGAATGTCGTACACGTACAGATATTGACTCAAAGATAATTGGATCGCAAAGTATATGTTATTGTGTTAAACCTGGTAAAGTATGCGGTTCTGATGGTGTAACGTATTCAAAGTGTAAAATGAATGCAACAATCATCTCATCGAATGGTACAGTTATTCCAATTAGTGAAGGACCTTGTCAAACTGGTAAGTTACTTTTTCTAAAGGTTTATAGGTGATTATTCAAATTAATTTTAAAATAAGTAAGATTTTCTACGACTATGCCAAAATACAAAGACACCTAAAGGATGCTTCTTCTTTGATTGAACTAACTTAAAAGTATACAGTCTCACTCTTTCTACTATTTATTCTAAGAGGTTCAATTATCATAAAGATTTTGCTTATATTATGGTAATAATTTTGGATTTGATATCATAATCTCAATTACTATCTGTTCAGTTTTACTACAACATGAGTTGGAGTCCCAGTAAACAGATTTTTCTTACTCTACAACTTTGTCCTGTAAGATATGACTCACGACTCTAAAAAGGCATGGAATCTAAAAGCTTAAGCTTTTGAGGCTAATATAGTATTATATAAACTTAAATACCATCCACTGGTATTTGCTCCATGTATGACATGATTAACTAGACAGAATTTTATTAAAACTATAAGTTATCAATCTTTCGCCAAGTTACAAGTTATTTCGTTAGCTGATAGATTAATTATAATGATGCCTAGTTGCTATCCAGAAACAAGAATATAAAATCTCGACATAACGTTATATTAATTGAAGTTTCCTGTGTTCTTATTATTTATTTATTTAAACACATATACACTGGTACAAGGAGGCACCAAAGGTCTAATCCACAAGGCATTGGAGCAACGTCAGGAGATGCATTCTCATGATAGCCAGTGACCAATAATTGGTTCATACGTCATTTGTTTCCTCAGGACCCTGGAACTCATGTGCACCATTTGTTTGGAATGGGAGTTTTCCAACACCCCCACGTGGTTCCTCCATATTCACCAACCCGGTTGGACTGCCGGACATCCGCTTTTCATCCTCTCAATCTCGTAAATAAAACCCTCACCACTAGAAGGCATTGAGTAGGACTTCCTTGTTGGTAGTTGTATGCACGTAGCTACTGGAGAGCATTTGAAGAGGGAGAGTTGTCTCCCCACTCTTGGCCGCGCCGTCAAAAAACTGCCTTTTAACAAGGATTGTTTGCTTATGTTTAAATAACCACGACTTTGGTCATCGTCTGAAAATACCCAGTTTGGTTAAATGGGTCTAGTGATTTTGTTTTGTTATTTATTTCACATAAAACGAATGGGATTATTGTGACACTTTCCATTGTTGTTGATAACAGATTTAAAAGTATTCAAGATATATTGAATGTTTTGAACATACAATGATTACTTTCAATAAAGATGTTTAAATGTTTGTCAATAATTGAATGCAATGTGAGTCACTTCTTTACGTTCTATCATACAATTGTAAACGAATGTTGGAAGTCACAAAACAAAGTATATTTGGTCGTTGACTGTCATATCTTTATCCACTGTTATAGATGTATCAAGTTAATAATAATGGAATTAGATATCAATACTTTGGTTATAAATCTAAATATGGCAAGCTATGTGTCTGTGATGTCCACGAAATTTAGTGCCTGGAGTGGAGTATGAGTAGAATGGAGGATGTAAAAATATATGGAAATAAATAAGGAATGCATAGTATGTGTTCGTTAATTGGCAGTCAAAGCCATTTGGAAAACTTTTGATGGAGTTTTGTTCTCTGAACTGGATGGTTTTGTCGTGGAGCTTTCATCGTTCTTCTGAACGACATCATCAGCACAAACTTCAGGTAGAAGCTTGGGTTGATTAAGTGAATTTACTAATGTTTCAACCAATCTTAGGACCTAATTCACTGATTACGTTACTTATTCAATCCATAAGAATTAATCAACATTAAGGACTAAATAATATAGCATTGATAATTACTTGACAATGGTTGGTTGAGTAATGCATTTTTTTCATTGTTGACATTTTCTAAAATTTTATTGCAGCTGTAATTGTGTAAAGACTTATTCCTTTTTAAGTATGTATTCATGAGCTTATTAAATTGGTAGTTATAACTAATGGAGTTTTCTTATCCGTTTTATATTTTATTTTTCGTCCTCTTAATTTCGTAAACAGTTATGCCGCGAGAAGGCAGTGAATAGGACTTGTGTGGCAGTGGCTGTGTACGCATGGCTATGAGAGAGCATTTGGAGAGAGGGAGCTAACTCTCTGCACTCTCGGCCGTGCCAGGGCATTCGATGGTCAGTGGATGACTTAACAATACATCATGCAGAACGTAGCTTGCAATCAAGCTAATAATCCTGTACAGATTATCACGTTCAATAACTCAACCACTTTTGATCGCCTCGAAATGATCAAGGCAATTATTTGTACAAAGTCTATTCCTTGAACTAAATTACTCAAATCAATTGAAGGGATTAATTTCAAAAATGTTCCTTATTCACTATGCTATACGTTATTTTGACAGTTTTTAAACAGAAGAAATGAAATAAACTAAACCATTTGGTTTGAAAGTGTTCATACAACATAAGTGAGGAGGAAAATTAGACGTGTCAACTCTTCAAGCCATCGACATTTAATAATCAATATGTAAAATAACACAAATAGGAAATGAAATTGATTAAAACGAACGATGAACGATATATCTGCATATACGACTCACTCGCCCTATACTAGATACTGAGCCAGCACTATTCTATCAGATATCAACACAACTCAAATCAATAACACATGGCTCATCTGTCTGGTACATGTATCAGCGGAAAATCAAAAACGGACGGCTGATATTATTGCCATGGTTATTGTGTTTTCTGACCTTCATTAAAAAGAATTTATGGAAATGATTAGAAATATCAAAAATTAGTGATTAATTAATTTGTATTTCAAAATTTGTGCTCATGTGTTTAGGAACAAACATTTTATTGTCTGTAATAATTTATTAATTGGCTATAAATTGTGCATTGTTTTAATCTGAATAGTGAACATCACTATCTACAAAAACTAGATGGACCACCATTGAAAACCTAGAAGCACTGGATGGCTGTGATCAGTGGAGTACAATCCGTGTCGGGTGGAAAAACTTATCTCTTTCAGATAATGGATCAAGGGTTGCCTAATATCATGGATCGACCGAATCAAACGTTAACATCTTTGGATGCCCGCTCAATGGTCTAAAGGTTAGGCATTCGAGTGCAAGACCGAAGGTCCTAGGTTCGAGTCCTTCATGTTGGGCCGCGGATGTACACTGCTGAGGAGTCACATACTAGGAAAAAAAAGGCCGTCCAGTGCTTCCAGGTTTTCAATGGTGCTCTAAAATCAAACGATTCATGATCTCAATCAAAAACTTAATAATCGTTACAAGCCCATAATGATAATTAAGGTATGTGTTCAGCCACCTTTACTTGCAGCCCACGATTGACCCTCCATATGTGCGTGTTTCCGCACATACATGTAAATTGATGGACGAAATCGGATGTGACACAATCGCTTACATGCGATTTGACTTTTGGTAAAACATAGACCTTGACTTTTCAATAATGATGAGTTGGGCTGAATAAAATGTTTTGTTGTTAGCCAATTTAAGTCTCCGTTTCAACATGAGACTATTTAAGTTACCTCTAAATGGTAAAGTAATATGGATTGGCTTTTTAGGTGCCAAAAACGTCCTAGGTCTCATTGAATTGCAACACTTTCAGCAGTCCATGAACTTCAATGTATAACCGCTATTCATTAATGTTTCAGTTAAAAGCTTCGTGTCTCCTTCACTAGTATCACTAATACAAATATGATTGATTCTATTTAATAGACCCTTTACTAATCCACCTTTGTAATGAATCAGGCCGAGGCTATGTAAATTAAGATGTCCATGTCGGTTTTTTATATACAGAACGTTTGATGTTACCATCATCTCTCCTACTAATCAGTGTGTCTAGAAAAGGAAGTTGGTTGTTCTTCTTTTCTTCGCATGTAAGAGAAATATACTTTTAATAAACGGAATACACACATTATGACATTAAATAAGAAAGAAAGATTAGCTCTTCGCTGAACTAATCTTTCTTTCTTATTTAAATATGCTTTTGACTTGTGTTGGGTTCTTTTTACAAGCGGTTCACATCTTCACGTTTACCCCCTATGATTATGATGTACTGCTTACATAGATACATCTTTTGAATTGAATCTTCAGCTGGATTTTCGATATATCCCATAAACACATCAGCCAGCAACGGTCCTAAAGGACTACCCATAGCTAGGCCATCGATTTTTCGAAAGTGTTCACCCTCAAAAGTGAATTTTACATTGTCTGTACACAATAATAATAATAATAATAATTCTTTAAGAGTTTTAACATGAAATGGCAAGGTAAGGTTATTCAATGAGATATAGTCACATAAAGTATCAACAGTTGCACGCAGGACATCCTGGAATAAATTGCATGAAAGCACTAGCACGAAGTTATGTATACTGGCCGCATTTAGACACCCAAACGGAGCAGCTCAGCCGTTCGTGTACCAAATGTGCATTAGCAACCAAAGCACCGCGAAAAACAGTGCTGAAATCATGGCCAATACCACAGTCATCGTGGCAGCGTATACATTTGGACTTTGCTGGTTCACTTCATGGACAAACTTACCTTTTGGTGATTGATGCCAGAAATTTTTCTCATGAAACGCCCGACATCAAGCTCCACAGTCAGTAAACTACGTCGACTATTCAGTCGTTTCGGAATCCCGGAATCGATAGTTATTGACAACGGAACACAGTTTACGTCCGTAATCTCACAATTTTGTCGGCAGAACGGAATCCATCACTTCCGAACACCTCCATTCCATCCCCAATCAAATGGCCAAGTGGAACGCTTTGTGAGTACATTTAAAAATGCTCTAAAAAATCCAAAGGGGAAGGGATCACTGAAGAGATCTTAGAGAGGTTCCTGTTTATTTATCGCTCTACACCGAACCGTCAGACGATTAACGGGGTCTCTACAGCAGAAGCTCTACTTGGCAGAAAGATACGAACACATTTCGATGTCATCCGTCCTACGCCAGCTATTGGACCCCAACGAAACCTATCGATGGAGAATCAGTTCAATCGACATCATTGGGCACAAAGACGATTGTTTATGGTGGGACAAAAAGTACTTGCTCTGGACTATCGTGAGAAACATCCCACATGGACAGCTGGTCGGGTCTTGAAAAAGAAGGGGAGTGTGGTTTACGAGGTGTCAGTTGGCTCAGAAGTTTGGGTACGTCATGCTAACCAATTGAAAGCAACTTCGATAGCCAGCAACGAGATTCAATATCGATTACCTCTTGATGTTCTGCTAGACACTTTTGAAATCTAAACGCCTGGAGCAGACATGTCAGTGCAAGAAAAGAGTGATACTTCTTTATTGCCTAGACGATGGACAAATCGAAAGCACAGGCCAGTCACTTGGTTGCAGTTGGACCCTAGCACCAGATCCTACGAATCTGCTCAAAGGGGAGGTGTTAGTGGGACATAGACTGGATTAAAGCGTGGCTAATTCTTATCAAATCAGCACTAGTCGATACTTGGAGAACACTTTAGAATCTCCTCATGTAAAAACTATAAATATACTAACGTTTACCCTATTGTGCTTCTTGCTTCCATCTAACCTTGTTATTTGGAATATAATCTCTTTCCTGTTCAACCGTGTTCTGTTTTGGGGACTTGTCGAGTGATTTGGTGTCCAAGAATACTAAGCATTAGGAATAGCTGGGTTATAACCGTAAGAGAGAAATATAACGGAGGTACATTTGTTTTTTGATGGAGTTTTGGTCTTTGAGCTGGATGGTTTGTTTGTGGAGGTTTCATCGTTCTTGTGAACGACATCATCAGCACAAACTTCATCCACCTGAGCTACAAATCTTCTCCACCATCTCAAGCACATTTGTGAATAAAATGTTCACATTGAAGCTCATTGTCTTTGTTTTTACATTCATATCCATTAAGTACTTAATTAATCCAAATGAGTCAGTCAAGGAATACTTACAAAATTGATTTCCGATAAGATTTAATACTTTTGTCAACCGTTTTACAAGATTGTGTGTAGATGACCGACACATTGATAGGATTGGACGTTAAAAGGTATTGGGCTTATAAATTTTTGGTGGTCTGTATAAATTAGGATAAAACGAACCTATAGGTTTTAATAAATTAAATTTATCTTTGCTAATAACATTCATGTTAAGCAATTTCACTAGGTTCGCATTGACTTTGAATTCCAATGGTCAAATAAAATCACATGGTAAATAAATATTTCCTCTATTGAGACCGGTCACATCCGATTTCATCCATCAATTTACATGTACGTGCGGAAACAGGTAAACAAGAAGAAGCAGTCATGAGCTGTAAGTAAAGGTGGCTGAACACATACCTAAATAGCTGCAAAAACAAATGAATTCTTATGGTCAAATAAGATCACAGGATAAACAAATATCTTCCTCCATTACGAAACATTTGGTTGAAACTGGTCATAAGGCTGATATCAAGTCAGACTCTGTAGTTTTGTACAAAAGCTTTCAAGGGCATATGCTAAGGCTTTTTGAAGCCCTTGGCATACAGAAACTGAAACCCTCTTTGTGTGTTCAAATACAATTTGTTCTTACCCTTAACCTAACCTGAAATATTGATTTATTATCCAGCATAGTTCTCACATTGTTTTTGTGTACTTTATAATAATCTTTCTTTCCGCTATCCTTTTAATTTGTCTAGTTGACCTATTATTTTTCATATAAAATGTCTTAAAGAGTATATGTGTGATCAGATTGTTGAAAATGTATTACGTAAAACATGGAAGCAATGGACGGCCGATTTGTCCTAGTATGGGACTCTTTAGTAGTGCGCATCCACCATCCCACATGAAGAACTCGGACCCAGAACTGTCGATCTTGCACGCGAAAGCTTAACCTCTAGATGAAGGGTTGTGCAAATCATGAATCGATTGAAATTAGACAGTTACATCGGCGGATGCCAGCTTAGTGGTCGACTCATGAAATACTACAATTTTCACAAATCCCCATACTGAAAATGAACAGTTGTTGCCTAATTTGGTGAATTCACAAACATTTGAATTATTTTCCGTTATGCATTTCTATAACATTGTTCTGGAGACATACGCCGGACTTATGAATACAGCCGCTTTTTTCACCTAGGACGCGAATAACACTGTGAGAGATAGGATATAGAATAGAATCTGGGGTCTAGAACCAAGTACAGTAAACGTATACTTGGCAAGTGAATTAGATTAGTTGGAAAATTAAAAACATTAAACAATGTTGAGAATGAGTATAGATGATGACTGTGTTGTGGAGTTTACGGATTGACCAACTGTTTGATCCTAAGTAGATGTCACTTGTAATGACAATAAATATATGTTAAATAAATTATATAAACTACAGGCTTGATAGAATTCAGTTATTGACTGCTGAACTGAACTTGGTCTTGGGTAATTCTAGTCTTAAGAGTACAACCATGACAATTCTCCTTCTCCACCGATCACCATTTCTGTTCGCTTCGTTGCTTTGATCGTCTGCCTGAATCAATGACTGTACAAAATATACGTATTCTAAATCCTTTCCCGTATTTAACTTGTTTTAATTCCTTTATTCTCTAACACGGATTACGTCGATGATTATATACGAGAATCGACTATATATATATTTCGAGAGCAATCAGTCATACGATTTAATTGGAGTCAGATCACAGGTCACTAATGTGATAAGCCCATCGACAACATCGTCCTATCTAATTGACGTCCAAATGAAGGGTCCGATGTGATTCGAACACTCAGACTTTTGATCTGGAGTTAGACATAGGGCCACTAAATACTTCTTCTTCATTTAATCTAGAACAAGCAAATGAAAGTTTAACAAGTTCATTGTATCTCTGAAAAAAGGCTAATTTTAAACATTTTGTTCTAGTTATTACCTTCTGATTACATTGTAGAAAATGGGTAGACCTTAAAAATATTATTAAGTTTTATAAGCAAAGATGGTTAATGGCTGGCAGTGGAATCCAGTTTGACGCGCGTTTCGTCCTATTTGGAACTCGTCAGCTGGATGTACCTGCATCTTAGAGTTGGTGTTCACTCCGGAACTCGAACACAGTACCGTTCGCTTCAAATGCCATCACGTTATCCACTCAGCTACTGAGACCTGATAGCCACTTGCTTGTGCAGGTTTGTTATCTTGGTTAATTTTTTGTGACCTTTTCTCAAAGTTCGTATTATTTGTTTACTTTGTAATAAATTCTTATTTTTTTCCTTACCCCAAGCACCTTCGGTCAAATTAACTGTATTAAATCAAACTGTTATTGAAGGTACAAATGTTACATTGATTTGTGAAGCACGCGGTTATCCGCTTCCAACCATTACTTGGTATTTTAATAAACCAAATCAAAAGCAGGATAAAATTCAAATGCCAGGTTTGTAACCGTAACTGTTATGGTTTTTATTATTTTTGTTTTCGTTTAGCTAAATTTCTTATACATTTGAAAATATTCTAATATTGATTATGTCATAGTGTGGTGTATGCTACTTATATCGACATAAGTAGTATATATCGCGATTCAGGAATAGAATGTCTGGCAGCAGAAGTTTGAAAAGATCGACAAGGGAAAAACGGAAACACAAAGTAATTGGTATGGAAATACAGGAACAATGAAGTCTGAGACAATTAATGAACATTTTGCAAATGAAGTATTAGAGTATGACTTTTCTAATCTCCACAACCCCTTCTTGACTTTTATATTTTACCGAGCAACTCGGTTATTTTGTGCTAAATATACTCTAAGTGGTGTGCCGTTCTGCGGACGCTGTTGCGGATCTGGAGCTGAGGTGCTAGTTGGGGCGGCTAGATGCAGAGAGGTGACCTCGAGTGCAGTGTTCTGGCGGACGACCTTGGCTGTAGCGCATACTGTCTACAGAGGAGAGGTGGGACGTACGGTTGTTGGGCGGACATCGGACATAGATGGCTCAGTAGGTCGCTAGAGAGCGGGCGTTGGATGTCCTAGGTGCCGGGTGGTTACCGGATGCTGATGGCCCGGCAGGTCGACGGAGCTGTAGAGGTCAGCGCGCCGCATACTCGACATTTTGACGGGCAGCGTGGCACAGACTGCAGAAAAGAAGGAAGTGGGACGGCCAGCAGAACCACTGCTCTGAAAGGGTGACGAGTGTGGTGGATTGGATTAAAGCATGTTCTGTGCACGATTGTGTTGGTGCACGATAATTGGCTGTTTCTTATCCAATCAGCTCTGGTCGATACTTGGAGAACACTCTGGAATCTCATATAAACGCTATAAACGTACTAACGCTTCTTTTATTGTGCTTCTTACTTCCATCTACCCTTTTTATTTAGAATATAGTTTCTTTCCTGTTCAACCGTGTTCTGATTTGGGGGCTTGTCATATGAATTGGTGTCCAAGACTACTAAGCGATAGGAATAGCTGGGTCGTGATAAAAGAGAGAATTATAACAACCATTTTCATACACACATAAACACGGTTAGCTGAAGATACTTTTCGTTATCTAGTTAAATCCAACAAGTTAATGCAGTATGTTACGGGTAATGAATGTTATTAGAATAAATAGTTCGACGATTGAATCTATAATAATGAGGATGTCATTCTCTTGATCATGTCAGTATGAGTACAAATAATACAGAAGCTAGTCAAAAAACTTCATTAGGTATGCAAAAATTGCAGGAAATTGACATACCATCAAGAATTGTTTTAGTTTTGTTCTTACTGAATGCAACTAAGATCATCTTAAACAGTTTGACATAATCTTTTATTATTCATGAAAGGAGTTATTAGTCTATTATTTTTTTCTTAAAGTTTCTGAAGAATTAATACTAATAAGGAGAACAAATGCCTTGCTCATGGAAATGGTCGTACGAATAAAAACTCAATAACCTGTTGGTTTCCTGAGTACCCGGATTACAGAATGTAAAATACCAATAGAAAAAAACATAAATAATTAAATTCAATTGGTGTTATTTACTTTTATCTCTCCATTGTTATTTAGGACTGTTATTGGCATATATACATCCTGTGCGGAGTGCCTCGATATTATCTTAAGTCACAAGCTTTATAAAGACTCAGTAGCTGAGTGGATAATGTGATGGCGTTTGATGCGAATGGTACTATGTTCAAGTCCCAGGATGAATATCAAATCTGACATCCAGTTACATCTAGCTGACGAGTCCCAAATCGGACGAAACGCGTGTCTAACTGAATTCCGTCGCTAGCCACTATCCATCTTTGCTTAAAAATTATTGTACTAACTTCATTGGTTCTTTTCACATAAGTATTTCGTTTAAAACTATCTATCTTGAATAATTTTAATTAACAATGTGTTATTATTTCATTTTTTTTTATATTTGAAGGTAATTACAAAGATTTTACTGTTAGTGTTCGTGGAGGAACTGAAGAAACACACACTATATCTTATTTACAAATAACAAATTTCATCTTAGAATATGAAGGTGAATATGTATGTATGGCTGATAATATTGTTGGAATTAAAGCACAAGGTACATCATTAGTTAGAAATAGTGCTTCACCAATGTTTTCATCTTCTGAATTATATTTACATAATGATGATGATGATGAATCAAAACATTAATACAATTGAAATTGAGTACAAATATTTTTTAAACAAGACACCTTAACTAATATTTACACAAATAAAGGTACATTCTAATTACCCATTAACAGTTTATCTGTTTCTTTATGCATGTTTAATCATCAATTGTTTGTTATTCATTAAAACAAAACGATTAGTTTGCTTTTTTTTCTCTTTTTAAATTGAAATTAACAAACCAAGTTCTAGAAAAATATAACTTTAATTATTAATTCTTTCTTTATAACTAACCTGTTGACTGAATAATTGATCTTATCTTTGTACTGATCATAGTATGATGTGAGCTACTTATATCCATATAAGTAGTAGTATATAATGATAGTCAGGAATAGAATGTATTTCAATGGAAAATCGAAAAGGAAAGAACGAAAATGGAAATCAATTTGTATGAAAATGTAGGAACAATGAAATCTGAGACTATGGATTGATATTTGCAAAAGAAATAGTCAAGTTTTGGACAAATAATGGATATTTTGTAAATTGAGTATTTACTATATGATTCCCAGATTTTACTATGTTTGTTTGTCGAGTTACATGTTAACTGAATCGTTGATCATACTTCGGTACCGATCATAGTTCATTAAACATAAAAGGAAACGATATTGAGATGGTGGGAGATACAATCAAAACAAAGAAGTAAACAATGACAGGTTTAAGGTCAACAAGAACCAATCAACATCGAGGTCTAAAAGACAACCTGTGTACCACATGTAGAGAAAAATGAACACATCACTCCTATCTGAATTTTATGCTGATGATGTCGTTCAGAAGAACGATGAAAGATCAACGACCAAACCAGAGAACAAAACTCCATCGGAAACGACATTTGATAGCACCTTTACCAAAAAAAGTGAGAAATACCACTCAACTTCGATTGCACTAATTTTTTTTGATCATCATAATCAAGAAATTCTATTTTGAAATCAAGGATAATAAGACTGAAAAAAACCTATCTAAAACTGAGATAATAGTTTACTTCAGCTATGAAAATAATGAAGAAATTAACACTTAGTTAGATACATGTAATAATGTTAAGATAGTATCCAAGATATATTCTCTTGACTTCTGTTTGTCAGTATTACCTTTAAAGTGCCCCTAAATACCCTGGTACGACCGAAAATGGGAAGGTTAACGTCTCACTCTCCAAATGCTGTCAAGTAGCCACGTGCATAAAACCACTATCAGAGAAGTCTTACTGCCATGTCGTGGCAGGGGTGATGTCTCCGGAATCAAGAGGATGAAAAGCGAATGTTCGGCGATTTAACCGACTTGGTGGACACAGAGAGTTCACTTAGGGGAGTTGGGAAACCCTCATTTCAAACCAATGGTGTACATGGGCTACGGGATCATAAGGAAACAAATGGCGTATGAACTTGTTGTTGGTCACCGGTTACCATGTGGTTGCATCTCCTTACATTGCTCCACTGACTTTAGGTCGAATGCTCCGGGTGTGGCTCCCTAAGACACTTGGACAATTGAGCAGTATCACAGCCCTCACATAAATCGGATGATTTGTATAGCACATATCTATTTTTATGCCTCCTTGTACTAATGTTTAGGTCAGAAGCGGTTTGTGGAGATTTTAGAAATTTCACAGATTGAAATCATGAGTCAGTTGAAGCTAAACCACCATGGAAAACCTGGAAGCACTGGACGGCCGTTTCGTCCTAGTATGGGACTCCTCAGCAGTGCGCATCCACGATCCCGCACCCCGCGGGGCTCGAACCCAGGACCCACTGGTTTCGCGCGTGAGCACTTAACCACTAAACCACTGAACCGGCATCCAAAGGTGTTAATGTCTAACTTCAACCAATCCACGAAGTTGCACCACCGTACACCATTGTCTCCAGTGAGCTGATATCTCACAACAGACCTGGTTGAACTCCACTGCGGGATCGTGGATGCGCACTGCTGAGGAGTCCCATACTAGGACGAAACGGCCGTCCAGTGCTTCCAGGTTTTCCATGGTGGTCTAGATCCAACTGACTCATGATTTCAATCTGTAATGTTTATGTGTTTAATTAAAAAAAAGAAATAAGTAGCATAAAATATATTAAGTAGTATGTTCACTATTATCATATAATCGTAATCAACTGTTTAATCATTCAAGAATAACTTCTTCTTATTCACTTAATACTTCCATTTTTATCTGTAATATATCTTTTAATCTTTTTAATTCATATTGTTTCATATCAAATTGATATTGTAAAGATTCAATAGTGTTACACAAATGTATCCATTGTTGTTCTACAATTGTTGTTTCTTTATCAAATTCCATTGTTGTCATTTCAGTTTTATTAAGTAATTCAGTTAATTCATTTTGTTTTAATAAAGTTAAATATGCCAATTTTGTATTCATTAAATAATGATTTGATAATTGAACCATGAATTCTGTATCATCATTATTTTGAACTGATTGACCATCAATTGTATTAGCTAATAAATGTTCTCTTATAGTTCCATCGGTTGATTGTAAATATCGTATAATACTCTGGTTGTATACGCCTATAAATTTTCTAGATCCTGAACTATAATTATTACAAAAAAAGAACAAGGAAAAGAAGAAAACACACAAACAGTTGCTGTGATATTCACTTGGTATTGTTTTCCTTGTATCTTCCCATTGTTATTTAGGACTGCGATTGATCAGTTTCTTGTTGGCATATACTCATCCTGTGCAGATTGCCTCGATATTGCTTTAAGTCACAAGTATTATAAGCAAAGATAGATAGTGGCTAGAACTGATCAACTGCAGTCCTAAAAACATCAATGGGAAGATTCTAGTAAACAATACCAAGTGAATTTAAAACTTCACTCGATTGCAAAAGCAAGTGGTTATCAGGACTCAGTAGCTAAGTGGATAATGTGATGGGGTTTTAAGCGAACGGTTCTGGGTTCGAGTCCCAGAGTGGACACCAACTCTGAGATGTTGGCACGTCCATGCGTCTTGGATTCCACTGGTTGATGTGATACTAAGAAATTTCCAACATCCAATACAACACTAATAATCGATATTAATAGTGGAGATCATGAGTGAATTGAAGTTAGATCACCTTGAAAAACCTAGAAGCAATGGTCGACTGTTTCGTCCTATTGTTGAAGTCATCAGCAGTGCGTATCCACGATGCCGCCGCATGACATTTGAACTCAGGACCTATCAGTCTCACGTGCGAGCGCTTGACCTCTAGACCATTGGGCTGACCAGCATCCAACGATGTTAATGTCTAACTTCAACTAATACACGTAATTGAGCGACACATCGTGGATTCACACTGCGGAGAAGTCCCACAGTAGGACGAAACGGTCGTCCAGTGCTTCCAAGTTTTCCATGGTTGTCTAGCTTCGATTGATTCATGATCTCAACTATTTAACTTACTATAATATCCACAAAACTCTTTCTGATATTTCAGAAGTTCTTTAATAAGAAAAATGAGTAAAAAACATGAATCAATTACTTACTGAACATTTAAATAATCCTTCTGAAATGAATATTATAGATAGTGAATTACATGATTTTGTTGTTATAACAGAACATACCACATTTTTAAATGTTTGTGTATCGTTAAAATTTTCTATTTTATTCAAGTATTCAATCCATCTCTCCGCATATAACTAAATGAGAATAGGAAATTTTTTTATAGCAAAAAGAAAATTAATTGTTTATATCTGTTAATTCAAAACAACTTTCAACCAATATCAAAGTGAGAATCTTCAATACCAACGTCAAGGCAGTTCTACTGTATGAAGCTGGAACTTGGAGAACTACAACAACCACCATCTAGAAGGTACAAGTATTTATAAATAGCTGTCTTCGCAAGATACTCAACATCCACTGGCCGGATACCATCAGCAACAGCCTTTTGTGGGAGAGAACAAATCAGCTTCCAGCTGAAGAAGAAATTAGGAAAAGACGATGGAAATGGATAGGACACACATTACGCAAATCATCAAACTGCATCATGAGACAAGCCGTAACTTAGAATCCTGAAGGGAAGCGAAAAAGAGGAAGGCCTAAGAACACATTACGTCGGATAATAGAAGCAGATATGAGAAGGATAAATAACAACTGGAAGAAGCTGGAAAGGATTGCCCAGGACAGGGTTGGATGGAGAACGCTGGTGAGCGGCCTATGCTCCTTCACGAGGAGTAACAGGCGTAAGTAAGTAAGTAAGTAACCTGTTAACCTGACCGAATTTCTTCGAACAATCCTTAATTAGTCAACATATGCTCATTAGATCCTGGCTTCAAGATGTATTACCTGTAGTTCTAGTGAGGAGCAGTGACCAGTGGAGTTCAACCGGGTCTGTTGTGAGATAGTAACTCATTGAAGACAATGGTGGATGTGTCGCTCAACTTCGTGGATTAGTTGATGTTATACATTAACACTGTTGGATATCGTCCAGCTTAGTGGCCTAGTGATGAAGCGCTCGCACGTGACCCTGATAGGTCCTGAGTTCGAATCTCATGAGGCGGGATCGTGAATGCACACTGCTGAGGAGTCCCATACTACGATGAAACAGCCATCCAGTGCTTCCACGTTTCCCATAGTGATCTAGCTTTAATTGACTTATGAATTCAATTATTAAATTACTACAATCTCCACAAAACCCCTCTATAATAATAAAAATGAATTATTGAGAACGAGAAGTTATTATTAGTGGCTTTTTTTTAAGTGAAAAAAGCCATTACTGGATAGTTCTGCTTTATTTTGCATTGCAGAGTGTAATGTAAACAATTTCACTGATTGAAAATACAATACCACCAATCATTTATAATATAGTACTGTTAAGTGCATCCAACAACAATTTCCGCGGGTGTTCTCAATCATCAGATGTAGAATATTGGGTGAAAATATAAACTTTCTAACTACCATAAACTGAACTAAGGGTAAACAGTTTTTTAAGTTTTTTTACAGTTTAACTATAAAGTATTGATATGTCAGAATAAAATATCGAACTAAAAATTTCTCTATTGATTGAGATGTTGAACCGATTGATGTTAGACCACCATTCAAAACCTGGAAGCAGTGGATGGCCGTTTCGTCCTATCGCGAGACTCCTCAACAGTAGTGATCTAACATCAATCGGTTTATAATCTCAATCAATAACTTAGTAATCTCCACAACCATATACTGATGAAAATTTTGCACCATATCTTACTGAATCATTCGATAAACTATAAAGAGTTAGGGAATGTGAGTTAAA